CATTGTATTTGCAACAACTTTTGAAGAGGAAATGTCCCGACTAGAGGAAGTATTCAAACGTTTGAAAGCAGCAAACCTCAAACTCCATCCCAAGAAATGCCACTTGTTCCAGAAAGAGGTGCTTTACTTAGGTCACATTGTAAGGGAGCATGGTGTGCAAACTGATCCTGACAAGGTGAAAGCAGTGCGTGATTGGCCAACACCAGACAATGTGGGAGAGTTAAGAAGTTTCTTGGACCTAATAAACCTCCATACCAATTTTGGTGAAGATACATCCACACCCTAAGAAGTAGTTACACACAACAGATAGTACTATTGTATTTATATAGATACTGAAATACTTTTTGCCAACTTTTTGTAAAGTAATCATTACACAATACTTGTAAGACTTTTTGAGTGTGAAGATTTTTTGTTTAATGTTATTGTAATTTTATGTTCAACAACCCAAATCAAATTGTTTACAGAATTGTTAGAGGTGTTGGAGTGACATTTAGCATAATAACTTCAGTATAAATTGAAATAATTATTTTGTGGCTAATCCCACGAGAATCTTGAAAGCGGAACTAACTCATTGACACCCAATGAAGTATAATTACTGAACTTTTACCTTATTAAAATAAGTGGCACAGCGGGATGTCTGCGAACTTACAACGCTAAAATCCGGGTTTCGAAACCTGTGGTGGACAGATCACAGATAGCCAATTGTGTAGCTTTGTTCTTAATTAAAAACAAACAATTAAAATAAAACAAAAATACTATTAACACAAAGATGTGTCTCACTCTTTTGTTTACTTTTGGACATCATGACATTTGGTTTTAGAAAATTCGACTGGCAACTTTTTAAATATGAAATTAATTTAGTAATTCTTTCATTTAAGTTAATTCAGTACATAGACTTAAATGAAGGTTTATGATAATATATATAAAGTTAAAAACATTAAAGACAAAATAATAATAATAATAAAACAGGATGGTCTCAGCGTTACTTTCTTATTGCTTGCTTTCAATTAGTAAGAACTATTTGTAGAGAATGTTTGGTAACATTAAGTTGGTTTCAGTTAAATAAAGAGCAGTGCCCTACGGACAGACCAAACTTTATTGGAGAAGAAGGATCCAGCATTTCCGTAAAGCACACGAGACCAGATACGATTCAAAATAGATAACAAGACTCTCTGAAAAACTGCAACTATCATTTTACGAGACAAAAAAAACTATCAAATACAAAAATTTTGAGAAAACATATATTGCAAGTTATGTTATTGAGGCTACAAAACATTTCTGCAACTATAACTTGTACAACTTCAAAGCGAAAGGTAAGTCAGTTGAAAGAATGAAAGAAAATTCTTTTGGAATGATATTAAATACCACAGGAATTGTCCCTCAGTGGCACAGCAGTATGCCTGCGGACTTACAACGCTAGAAACCGGGTTTCGATACCCGTGGTGGCCAGAGCACAGATAGCCCTTTGTGTAGCTTTGTGCTTAACTACAAACAACAATCACAATAATTATTTACATTGTATGATAAAATGATCGCATTTAGAAAACTGTTCTTCCTGAGTGGATTTGGTATAACGTAAGTGTATTCTATTCCTTTAAAAATGAAAACATTAAGGTTTAACTGTTTAAAAATTATTGGTTTATGTTTCTCAGATGAGTGTAAAAAAATGCGGGCCTGGTGTGTCGCGGGGTCGAATCCCACCACCTAACATGTTCGCCCGTGGAGTCGTTATAATGTGACTGTCAATCCCATTATTTGTTAGTTGGTGGTGGGTGGTGTTGATTAGTTACCTTTTATCACTACAAATTGTGGACGGCTAACGTAGATAGCTCTCGAGTAGCCTTACGCGAATTTCAATAACAAACAAACAAAGTAAGTAAATACTCTCAAACATATTGCTTAATTAAATTTTGTGTGTGTGATAAAACAGGACTGTTTTCGTGTATACACCCAAACTCACGTGCAAAAAATATACAATCAAGTAAATCCAATCTGACTTTTAATTAACAGCATTCTTAGAAATCAATATGGGTAAACACTTCAGTAAAACTTCTTTGTTTGTGTTTCACTTCAAGTGTAATTGTGATTCACCAGATATCAAGTCCATGTTCTTTAAAAGTCAAGCATATTGTAATAAGCACCACTTAAAACGGAAACAAATAATCTTAAATCAACAGCTAGAATAAAAAAAATGTTATTCAGTTTATCGTGTAATCTATTTTATGGATTTGGAATCTTGACGTTTGATAAGTAATAGAGGGATATACAGCTTGTTACGTAATTTCTAGAGACTTCTAATAGTAGCTTGAATTTGAAGAGATGAGTTGTTTATTTCAAAATATTATACTTGTAGTAGGTTCTGTCAGAGGACGGGATAATTAATACAACCAATGTATTTGCGGGTAGCTGGAACATTTGAAGGTGCTATACTTAATGATTTTTAATAGATATATTTATTTACTGTTAGATAAATTTGATGTTATGTCTACTTACTTGCGTGTGTACTTAGTAGAAAAAAGTGGTAAAATCTCGATGTAGTGTTGAGTAGATAAAAATATAAATTATTATCGTTTGTTCGTATCTACTATTTGATGGCCAAACACCTTATTGAAAGTACATACATTGCTTTGTCACATACTTTATCCCTTACTTAAGCTGTAAGAAGTAGAACTATGAATGGGTAAAGACGAAGGTCTGACGAAAACGTTGTGATCTAAATATCAACTGATTTAGCTATTTTTCTTAAATTTCAGATCAACGAAGACTTTTGTACCAGTTGACATTGGTTTTGGTGTATTGTATGGTCATCCACAGCGAAAAGTGTAACATCAGCGGTTTAATCAAGCCGTGCACATGTGAAAAGTTTTGGAACGACGAGAGTTTCATCACTTGCTCTCCTCCAGATGATGGACGGACATTAATGGACTTGCTGGAGATTGTCGCCAACCATTTCCATTCCGGTAAAAAAATTACATTTTGTATAACTGGATGTGACAGAGAAGAAGCTGCTTTTCCGGCTTTTCCATATGGTTTCTTTTCTAAACTGAATCGAGTAAAAGAATTCCAAATAGAAGTGCGTTGTGATTTCGCATTTCTTTCTCCTCCTGTACACGAAGGAACATCTATATTTGATGGATTAACAATAACGGAGAAGATGACAGTCGTAATATCTCCGCCTTGTCAATCTCTTAATGGGTGGGATTGGTCACTGTTTTTAAACATAAAATTTGAAGAAAACGCCACTTTTTCTATAGACCACTTTCACTCTAGACTTGACTATATTCCCTCATCATTTTCTAACTTGGGAGAACATATTCCTGTGAAAGATATCAAATTCGTTAGAGTATTTGTAAGTAAATTGCCAAATTATGCCTTTTCGAAATTTTGGAGAATGGAAGAATTTAATTTCACTCAAAGCCTTTTAAGTGTAGTCAGACGCAGTGATTTTCCTACTGAAGCCACATACCTGAGAACTTTGGATCTTAGGTATGTCTTACAAACAATACTCTATGGTAAAACAACTAAAATGGTAGATGCACGAGTTAAGATGAATTAGAAAGCTTATTTTCATATTGTCTGTCTGATAAGATTACAATTCATTAAAACAAACCTTGCAGTTAGAATGAATTTATTTCTAGTCAATTTGCTAGTATTATGATTACTTTTAGCATAACCTAAAACTTTTCCTACTGGTATGTTTTATGCTGTAGTTGTTTATATTTTTGACTCACATTGTGCAGTACGTTATGTTAAAACGCACAAGAAGTTGGACAGAATTTGTATTTTGTAAAGATTAAACATATTCACTATCCGTGAAAACTCAGCAAGTTATCAAATATTATCTTTCTTTTTTATTGGAAGAAAGTAAAAATACCCCAAACCTGCACCGGACACCAGCATATTTATAGTATTAAAGAAACATTAACAAAAACTGAAGCGACCACTAATACAGTAACCGATAAAGTCTGAAGACGAAATGGTAATACTCATTTTTTCTAGGACAAATAGCACGTGCGTAATGCGCTGAAACAACTGTGTATTCTCACAACAGGACAAGAAAAACTGTATATAATTAATTGCATATGGATCTTTGAAACTGCCAATTTTTGATCATATTCAATATTTTTCTCTTGCATCCACTTGTTTCTTACCAATTAAATTATGAATAACTCTGTGAAAATAAAGTATACTTTTGAGTGTAAAATGTCCAAGATCTACCTGTTTGTTCTAGTGTGGAAGGCCAAGGTTACATGCCACAAGCAGCCATTCAAAAGAGCTTATACTCATCCGACCAAACTTTTCAATTACCTTTTCCTTGAAGTATAGATTATAGTCGAGGAAAAGGGTAGTGCGAAGGTTGTTATAAACTAGGAATTAATCTTCCCTTAAATGAAAACTGATAGAGGTAATCTAGGATTGGGACCATGGTATCAAAACAGTTTGTTTTCTGGTTTCGTAAAGTACGTTGAATCTTCTGGCTCCAATAGCAACGAAAGTCAATTAAGCAGAAAACAACTGAAGCTGGTCTGAATGGTAATCAGTCAAAACACCTTCCTACAATAAGGGTAGATCTGTGGTTTTGAGAATAGATTCACTTCCATTGTTTACGTTATTGTGTTTAAGTCTTGTTCTTTTCTGTCTAAGTTCATTTTATTCTTTTGCAAACAAATCTTTTTGAACCACCTGTACTGTGGTCTCTTGATTTACTTGTTGGTTGCACTTGTACCTGTAAATACCATATTAGTGTTTACTAAGAAACACAAAATGTAAAGCTGAAACCCTACTATTGTCCCTCTTCATGTTTAAGTTTCGTAATGAACAAGCATATTTCTCCTGATGTTCTATAACAGCGTGTCGTTATACATGAAAAGTTAACAGTTGTTGTAGTGATAGCATAAACCTATTATAATTTCTCATAATATAAGGATTAATTTAGTATTTAGGTAAGCCAAGACTTTTTAATATTACATTTACCTGTATTTTAACTTCCTCCGATAACAAGGGTTGGTTTGATATCCGATTTTGTTGCTGTGACCAAAAGTAATGGGTGATAGGTCACGAAAGCAATATAATGAACAAAAAATATGCGCCAATGAGTTAAAAAGTTAATTCTATAGGCAAATATAGTTTTTAATACTCCCACCCCCCAGGCTTGTCCTATGAATGGTTGCCAGTGAATGAGCTATCGTGTTGAGCGAAATACTTTTTAATATTAATTCCTTTTCGGATAAAATATGGAACTGAAATAGTTTTTCACACTTTTGACATTTAGGACAAACTCTTGGCCTTCATAGGTTGAGTTTGGTTCTGGTTCCAAACTAAAACTGAGACAGCGGTAAGTTTACTGTCATGGGTTGAGTTTGGTTCTGGTTCCAAACTAAAACTGAGACAGCGGTAAGTTTACTGATTTACAACTCTAAAATCCAAGGTTCGATTCCATGTGGTAGACACAGTAGATAGCCCAATGTGGCTTTGCTCTAAAACAAACAAACCGAACTAAAATACAGTTCTACACACTTTTGGTTTAAAATTCGTTATGAACTAAGATTCTTATGCTATTAATACGAAAGTATCATGTTTAGAGTATTCAAACTATGGAAAGTTCTATTAATACGAAAGTATCGTGTTTATAGTATTCAAACTACGGAAAGTTATATTAATACGAAAGTATCGTGTTTACAGTATTCAAACTATGGAAAGTTCTATTAATACGAAAGTATCGTGTTTACAGTATTCAAACTATGGAAAGTTCTATTAATACGAAAGTATCGTGTTTACAGTATTCAAACTACGGAAAGTTATATTAATACGAAAGTATCGCGTTTACAGTATTCAAACTATGGAAAGTTCTGCTTGTTTGTTTCATAGCAAAGCCACATTAGGCTATGTACTCTGTCCATCGCGAGGAATCGAAGCCCATATTTTAGTGTTGTAAGGCCGTAGACCGTTACACCGAGGGATTTGAAAGCTCTGTATAATTTCTTAATGACTGAGAATGATTTTTTTCTGTAACGTCTTAAAAGTTCTTTATTTAAAAATAGTGTAATGAAACATCTATTGTGACCAGTTTGTTTGAAAAAAAAAACGCATTTAATTTACTTTTTCATTTAGTGGCAACAAACTTCAAATATTACCAGATGACCTCTTCTCAAACATGCCTATTCTTAAGGTAGTTGCCCTAAATGGTAACAATATCTATGTCCTTCAAGAACAGCTTTTTCGGAATATCGCAAAACACATAAAATTCAATGTTTCAGGTAAGTCTATCCTATTAACGTTACATGTATTTAGAGTTAAAGAAAATATGAAGTTTATTTTGTATTATTTATAAAACGAAGAATGCAAAGTCTAATCCACTTAGTTATAACGAAAGTGTTGTATTTCTTGAACTTCAAATTCTGCAAGGTAGTTTTGATAATGTTCACTGTTACTATAGTAGGTATAAATCTACACTAGACACTAATACAACAATTATACTTATCTGCTTCTCGTATCTCTAGTACTTTGTGAAAACACAAATTAAATATTCACAAAGTGAACAAAATACCTGACAGTAGCAGACAAACTGGTTAAAAAACTCGCTAACTCGAAAATCAGTAAATCACTGTAAGAGGCTCACAGCATCATTAATAAACTGTAACCCAACTTATTTTTGTAGGGCTCAAATAATTTCTTCTTACAGTTTAAACAAAGTTTTAGACATTAAGCCACGTTCACTGCGTTACTTCAAAACTACTCCAGGTGAAGCGACAATAAAAAGATGAAAATAAAAGAACTTACAGTATCGTCTTTCCCTTGAACAATCAATGTTATATTAAATCTAAACTTCTACACTTAACAATGAAATAACTGTTGACAATTAACAAAACATTAATATTCATAGATATATGTACTAAAATCGTGACATCATTAATTAAATGTGTGATACAAAGAACAATAATGAAAAAAAATATCAGCAAAATAAAATCTTTCTTTACTCATTTACTGTTCCTAAACTGTCCAGTCACTCAATGAGACGACCTTTTTTATCATCACATGTTGTCTTCTCACTGGGTGTTCGAGTAAATCCATTGATGGCTGCATCCTTGATGAAACTCTGAAACTGGTCTCGACATGAACCTCGGACTCTTCAGCTAGTTAATTTACCTTTGGTGGAGTATTCTTTTAAGCTAACCAGTTGACTGTTTCTTGCTGACGATTGTCTTTTGCTTAGATTACCTGTCCTTCAGGATTCTGCAAGTCACATCAATGATTCACTACAGTATAGGGTCCTTCCCCACATCTACTTAATGTTGGAGATAGTTCTCTCTTGCAGTATGTGTTGTGCAGATACGCTATATCCCTACGATGAAATCTAGTCTTATAACAAACTTTTGTCTTTTCACTAGATGATTTAAGCCTTTTACGGGTAAAATCAGGTATGGTATCAGTGATGTTCTTCAGTTTCACTACCTAACCTGAGTAAAACCGTTGTGTAATGGTTCTTGGGGTGTAAGTGCAGAAGGTACATTTCCATCGAAGGAAGTTGGAGTTTCCCTATTATATCTTCTGCTGATTCCATAATTCCAATATTAGGTCTTGAACTGCAAACTTAGTTGATTCAATCCCCATTACTGAACTGACATTTCCTTTAAAGATACACTTACCTTACTTTGCAAATCCCCATCCACTGTAGTATCTATAAATTGACCACGTGCCAATGAATCCAAAATATTATATTTGGGAAAGTATTTCCAGATCTTGAGCATTTTCGGCTAATATTTAATCCTTCATGTGCTCTTAAATTTTGCTTTAGAAAAGTCCTTTCATGTGAAATGAGGTAGTCATTAACGCCTTGCAGTTGCTATGACTTTCTATTGGAATATTGTCAAAGGTGGTGTTTTAAATGTACGGCAAGATTAGTAACTTGATTTTCATTACTTTGGGAGTTAAATTGAAACTGTACCTAAGATGCCACCGTTTTCCACCATAGTCTGTTGATTTCTCTACTGATCAGTTGTTAAACTGGCCTACTAACTTCCATAACTTGATGATTTAGAGATGTAAATGGAGTAGACCAGGAAGTTTCTGTAGTCGAGAGTAGCACAGCACTAGTGGTAACATGTGTATATAATATCAGTTCTTTTATTCCATATTACATAGTTAATGGTTTTTGAAGTTGGAATTTTTGAGCAGACATGGAAATAGGTGTGGCTGGTTGGTCATGGCATTTGTGACTTAAGATTCTAAATATTCCATCTTAGCATTGATGGCTTTTCGTACCTCGTCAGTTTTGTTTAATTTATTAATTTAATTTTATAATATATATAATGCATAACACGTATCTTATGAGAAATGTTAATAATAATAATCACTTTCATAGAGCCTCTATATTTTTAATAATTATTATAAATATATATATATAAGAATAATCGAAAATAAGTAAAAAATTTATTGCTCTACTATGTAGCTATAGTCAACTTAAGTCAACATAACTCTTTCCCCGCGTAGGTTGGATTTAAACGTCAAGCAAAGAATGGTCTCAGTTGAATGATTGAAAGTGTTTCACTGGATATTACAATGGTTACTGAGTGAACAACAAAAATAGTGTTTTTTATAAGTATTGGGTTATCTAAATACCACTTTTCCTATTATTTTTCACTTTTCATATTACATAAATTTATGAATAAGGAGAGAGTTCAAGCCCTTTGTTTTGTTGTACGCATGTAACCGAATGCCTTGCAGTAACAGAAACTAACAAATTTGCTAACTTGATAATGAATGAGCTAGCGTAAAAAACTCAAAACCTAATAATTAACTGTAGCGTAACTCTTTTTTCTTTTCATATGAGTCACAACGTTTCCTAAGCTTTCAAAAAAGTGCTAGCCATTAAACCACGTCCATAAAATAACACCAAAACTACAATACAAACCTTTAAAGCAAAAAAAAAAAAATAAAAAAAAATAATAATAAATAAATAAGATAAAGTAAAGAATCAGCTTACTACAATATGTTCTTTTAAGGTAGATTTTAGCAGTGTGTCCAATATGTGTGAATTATGCTTTCTATGGACTTTTCCTGCCATTTTACTTGATTTTGTGATGACGAATCCCCGAAATGTCGTCTCGAAATCCAGAAAAACCGCAGGGAAAGTCCACAGAGAACATTTAGGGCATGATGGTGGATAAAACAAAATACGTGGGCCTAGCTAACTAATAAATGAATATTTGCTGTTAAATTATTATCAATGCTATAAGTGTAGCTACCAGTTTGGCTGCCAATTTTGATTTCATTCCTTTAAGTCGCACGCTCAATCCCTTTTGACCGCACCTTTTTGACACCTAAGGTGTTTTTGATTAGATACCATGACTTTTTATAAATACACAACAACAAACCACTCCAACTAAGAAAGTGACACTCCATAGTAACCAACATTAGCTCTAGGATTGCAACTCTATTATTCGGAACAGACCTATACTTTACAGAACCAACCACATTCTTTAAAATATATGGTGGTAGTTTTACTCTCTAAAACAGTGTTCATTTATAGGAATGCCATGGAATTTAGATTAACAGTTTCTTGTCATCACCCCATGCAATCGGTACAGCCGTATCAAACATCATTATTTATGTTAATCGCTTAAGCTAATATCACGTGACGCTAAAAGTTCTTTAATTAGGATAATTTCATAACATTTAGTAAATTTGTGCTGAAAAGTTGGCAATGAATAATCAATATTAACCGTCCACCCGTATGATTATTTTGAAAACTTAAGCTAGAAACTGCTAACTTAATTTGCTTGGCTTAACCAATACTGATGTATCTGCACGTCTTTTCATCTTATACTTTTGCTGCTCTAAATCAACAATCTTTAATCCGAATGACGAAAAACTAAAAATGATCCACTTTTACTCTTAGGTGAAACTGTAGTAAAAATGTTAGACCGATAGCTAACGTGACTTTTTGCACAGACGTGCGCAAATATTTTCGTCATATTTGAGCGATTATTGTTGAATAACTTTGCACAGGTGACTTATATGTACACCAACTAAAAATCCAAATTGTAGGTTAAAAAGAGCTATCAGTGTACCAAATTTGAAAAAAAAATCCATAAAACTTAGGTATGTTCTTCTATCAAATAAAGTTTCCAAACTTTTGGTGAGAAGAAGAAAAAAAAAAAAGAGGGAGAAACTGAAATTGAGAGAATATGGAGAATAATATATCTGCTATAAATGTGGGCAGCTTGGCCACTAGGGACATTGTTGCCCACTTTTTGTTAATACATAAGCATGCACACACACATGCTTCAAGCTCTTCAAATAACTGGTAACAAGGCTCAAGAAAGATGAATGGCAGTGAGTGTTATCAGACCCATTAGTTTACACTAAAGAGCTTCTGTTCCTTCATTGTGTGTGACGGTTAGTCTGATGTTTACAAGGCTGAGTATGTGCCTGTAAATATATGTGGACACCAGGTAGAGTGTTTAGTTGATACAGGAATGGTTAAAACTTTATTTGATCATACTGTTTTCCAGTTACTATCGTGTAAGCAATCATTGTGACCCGTTAACACTCTTTTTTTCTTGTAAATGATGATTGGCTTGCAGTGAATGCAGAAGGCTGACTCTACATCACTATTTGTGGAATCATTGAAATGTTTGATATTTGTTGTCGTAGATCTTGGCTAAAATATTAACATTTTGGGTTTAGACGCCTATAGAAATTATTTCCTAAAATAGTCTATGCACAAGGAGGACTACAGAGCAGTGGTAAAACAATAAAGTGTTTGTGTGTTTATAGCAAAACCACATCGGGCTATCTGCTGTGCCCACCAAAAGGAATCAAACCCCTGATTTTAGCATTTTAAATCTGTAGATTTACTGCTGCCTCACTGGGGGATCATACACTGTCAAACAAATTTTGCACAATAGCCACATACAACATGAGTGTCTGTAGATGATGATGTGGTGGTTTCATCTAATACACAAATGTTGTTTTCTGGTGTTCTATGAGTACAATATAATGTAGCATTATCAGCTAATGATATGGCTCAAGTGATGCCTGATACTCACTGTCTTCTTTTGAAAAAAAACTAGTCACACTTACTCTGACAGCTTTCTCTTCAAGAGCAAAGAATATTCTGTGTATGATTTATTTATGATAGACAAACATTAGGGATACTGGCTGAAGCAAATGTTGGTTTAGTGCGCAAAAGAGACGCGTCGAAAGCTAGCAGAGTGATTAGAGTTAGTTACTTTAACTGCATCATCACATCAGT